TCTGAAAGAGATTTTCATTAGAAAAACAAGAAGAGAATTATAGAAGACCCTGTACAACAAAATGAAATTTAATGTGAAGAAAAGCAAGGTTTTACACTTAGGTAAAGGTACAAGTACAGATTAGGTGAAGTCTGGCTCAAAACAATAACTGTGAGGGATCTTGGAGTCCTAGTGGACAATCACTTAAATATGAGCCAGTAGTGTATAGCAGCAGCCAAAAAAGCTAGTGCAAACCTTGTTTCCATAAAGAGAGGCATAGAATCAAAATCATATGAAGTATTAATACCACTTTATAAAATCTTAATAAGACCACACCTAGAAAACTGCATTCAGTTTTGGTCACTACATTACAAAAAAGATGCTGAGAAGAACAACTAATGATGGAGTCTAGGATGGAGTCTAAAACATATGAAGAACAATTGCAGGAATTTGGTATGTCTAGTCTAGTGACAAGAAGGACTAGAGTGACATGATAGCAGTATTCCAGTATTTGAGGGGCTACCACAAAGAAAAGGGGATTAACATATTTTCTAAAGCACCAGAAGGCAAGACAAGAAACAATGGATGGAAACTAATCAAGGAGAGAAGCAAACTGGAATTAAGGAGAAATTTCCTAACGGTGAGTACAATTAATCAGTGGAACATCTTGCCTTCAGAATTTGTGGGTGCTTCATCTCTGGAGATTTTTAAGAAGAGACTGGATAGCCACTTGTCTGAAATGGTATTGGGTCTCCTGCTTGAGCAAGGAGTTGGACTGAAAGACTTCTAAGGTCTCCCACTCTATTCTGATTCTGATTCTGATTTTGAGAGATAGATAGAGATGTCACCTTCAGCTCTGCAGGCGAAATTTTGGAAAACAGGCCAAATTGCATGGTAGTTGAAAATTACTGAAAACTGAGCACCTCCTTATTCCATCGTTGGAAGATTTCCTCCCTTAATTTATTTTCTGTGAGTCAACATCCTTCTTATACAAGCCTATGTTTGGCTCCCAAGAAGAAGATGCTGTTTCACAAATGATTGTACAAAAGTTTATATTAGTATTCCTGTAGTGCTACAATCGACCAAAATAGATTTCACAGTGGCCCTTATGATCTTGCTTGTTCAAAAATATCTTACACTAGCAGAGAAATATATTTAATTTTTTTCATGCACCCATAGAATAGGAAGGGAGGAAAAATCCTTTAAAGATAGGAAGCCACATTGTAGAAAAAATACTGTATGTAGAAAATAATACTGAATTTTGTTCCCTTTGGTCACTCAGCTATGCTGTTGGGCCAAGTAAACAGAAGTTTTTCCCCCCGACATGACATATCTGAATTAATTACATTAAAAAATAATGTTGCAGAAATCCTGGTCTTAAGAACAAATAAACACCATTGTTTTTCTATTTTTTTCCATAATTTCACAAAGTTGCTTTGACCTTCCCTAGTTCTGGCACTTGGTTCATCCTACTTTAATAAAAGAGGTGAGAGAATGTAATAAAATCTAATAAAATACAAGATTAGCAAGAACTAAGAGTAGTATATTATACAAGCTACAATTATTTCTTCTAGAAATCAGAGCTAGCAAAATATAGTATTCTGGTTAAAAAAAATTGAGATGGTCCAATTGTGTTAAGACTTTAGATCTTCTCTTGCTCAGCTATAACTATTAAAAGTTTCTTTTCTTTCTTTTGGAAATATATTTTTAAAGGTCATACAAAAGATGAATCAAGTCTTTCTTTAAATGAAGAAGATTATAAATAATCTAATGAAGAATAGTAATATAATCAATGGATGCATGGTGGGATAAGGTAGTTAAAGAAACCCTTAAATATGTCTATACATATTGTGCATTAAAAATCTTTGCAATATGTTTAATGTTTGAAAATGTCTGTTGGTTTTGATTATGTCAGTAAATTTTCCTGTTTTTGATCCAACTTGTCACCCATTATCTATTTCCCTGGTTTAAAATGCTATGTGACATGAATGAAAAGATTATTTTTTTCTTAAGGATCTAAACAGTATGAAGTCTGAAAGGACATTTTGCTACAAAAGTTTTTCCATTTAAATTTAACTGTAAATTTTCAACTCTTGAGATTTGAATTGCTACAACATGTCACAATAACTGTGATCTTTAAAAATAACATAGAATATGGAAATCCATATTAAGGCAGTGAAGTCTATGAAATTTCCAAATACCAATTCCTTTTCTGCTGCAACTGAGAAACAATTGCATCAGGGTTTATTTCTGAAAAAGTTGTTTTGATTCTAATCTAAATAAGATTAGTACTAAATTCACCAATATCTTAAGTGTTCAGAAGATTTGGACTTGAGCACTATCAGTATTCATTCATTCATAAAAAGTACTGTCATGAACAGGTAATGTAATCTGTAATGTGTTTAATTACAAGCTGGTAAATGTAAGATGATCAATGAGGTGCTAATTACAATAAAATAATTTTAGGCATATCCATAATCCATCCATCAACAAAATAAGAGGATATAAATGACAATCATACAAAGAAATAAATTAAAAAATGATAGAATTAAGGCAAACTTTAAAAAAATTAAGGAATCCCTTAAACCCTGGGATATCATTGTGATTAGATGAATTGGACATAGAATCCTTTCTGCAAGCACTTCAGATGAAGCTATCGCATTCTAGAGCAACTGCATTTTACTAGATCATCATCAAGGGCAGCCCCATGTAGAATATGTTACTGAGGCCTAATATAGTGGTGATAAAGCCATAAATCATTTAATAATGGATTCTTGATATATAAAAAAGCACAACTGGCATACAGTTGACAGTGGTCCTTGGAACAAGGTCTTCACTTACTCTAGTAGAGTCTTAAGTCCAGAAAAATCTCTAAATTGTGGGTTTTCCTGCTCAGATGAAGTCTTACCCATTTTCATTAGGAACCAGAAAACAGCCAGATTGATTACTTACATACAGAACATCTATATTTTTGTTTCTACCGTACTTTTATTGTCCCAACCAGTTCATCATAGCCTCTAGTCCCCAAGTAAGAACCTCACTAGCTTAGAGTGGTGATATATAATTGGGTATCTTCAGCATATTAAGAATAACTCACCACAAGTCAATGGATGACATCTCCTAGCAATTTCATGTAAACATTAAATGCTATGATTGTCTTATCCCATTCATTTTAACTGGATTTAAATTGATTTACTTTAGCCAATTAACTATATTTTGCTAACATTATTGTTCTGAACCTCCATCATTTCAAAGGTGAAAACAATGTTTATCTTATGAATTTATAACATTTCTATTCTCAAATCAAAGGTCACTGCCTAAAATGTCATTCTCCCTCCCCCCCATCCCAGTGTAAATGAAATATATTCCCGACCTCTTGTATGTGAGTATGATCACATGAAGTACATTTAATCTCATGTCAGAAATCATATTCATCAGCAAATATTTTTCATTCAAAAGAACCCAGCAGGTAATAGAAATTAGTGCTCTCATGCAATGTCACATTCATCTGTGCTAAATTTGAACTGTATTTCTCCCCTCCCCTGAGCTGTGTGCTGTGCATTCTATGGGACAAAAATGCTAAATAATAAGCTTTGCAAAGTGAAAAGAAAAAAAGAGATTTTTTTTTAAAAAAATAAGAAAATGGAGATTAAAGCGGGACCACATATACTGTGTAAACTGTAAATGAGAAACCCACGGTTTTCCAAAAGTTGCCACTAAATTGTAATTTTGAAATGATAGAAACAGGAAATTGTCAAATATATAGGGGAAAAATCCTTAGTGACATTTAATAAGTGACATTTAATGTTTATCCTGACCTCATCTCCATCTTTCTCCCAATTCTCCCTAGTTTTTCTGAGTACTGCTTCAAACATGTCATTAAAAGGCTAAGTGTTGTCCCTGACATGAACATACATACTCTGATGCATAATTTAGAGGAAAAAAGGATAGTATTCTTTATTCCATAAAAAGCAAGTAACCTCTGAGTACTTAACTTTCTACAGTAGTGGAATTATAAAGCAGATAGGTCCACCCAATTAAAACCTAAAAAAAAAAAAAAAATCATGTGGAACTGTGTTGTATTATTTTATAAAAGAAAATAAGCTACTTTGGGGAATTGAAATAGTAAAGGCAGAAAAATCACAGCAAAAAGATGTAAAGGATTAATTTCATCTCTGAATCTTAAAATATATAGTAGCAGGAGTCACTCAGACAGAGCTAATTAGAGGTCCTGTATATATGTTTCCTAGCAACAGAAGGGAACACATAAAGTTTGTTTTGATCTGGGCTCATGTTTAGAAAAAAATGTGTTCTTTTTTTATGAAAGTATACATTGCTCTTAGGCTTTAATGTTATTTTTACTCCAAATAATATTTGCCATTTTTTGGCTGAGTTCTTTTACCTTATTTACATGGGTGTCTCAACAAACTGAGCCTAGCTAGTAGTTGGATGAAGATCAATGGAGGGGTCATAGGCTACTCTGGAAAGTTGAAGAAATACCCTGGAAGAAGGCAGTGGCAAACCACTCTATATTGTGCATACAAGGTCCTCACCTGTCAAGCCTGTTTTGAAACAGGCTTTTTTAATAACATGGTGGCTGAGATAAACTGTGTTTTTTCTGGTTTGAGTTTCAGTTCCAGGTCCTTTGACATATGTACTGTTTTTGTTCTGGGAAAAAGTTATTGTGTGAAATTAAATAATATGTAGCCCCTAAGTAATTTAGTAACTTGCCAGGGCTTTCTCCTCTTCTTCTTTCCTGAAATTCTTGGGACACTGTTTACAATATCTTTAGTATGTTGGCAGCTGGAGGAAAAATGGGCAATCTTATTCCATTGTCAGTTCCACCAGGACAAGCCATTACAGTCCCAAAAACTACACTGGTTGCCCATTGTCCTCAAGACTACAGAGTATTCTTGCACAATTTTTAAACTGGTAACATATTACAAGTACAGCTGGGCACATTTTCTACCATATTTATGGATGGATGGAATGAGTCTATGCCTTTTCCATGTGTTTTGTAGGAGAAGGAAAACCATTTTACAAAGGCAATCTCCTTCTTTGGCAGTGACAGTAACATTGTTCCAGATATCGCCCAATGGGAGTACTGCTGTCAAGACATATTGCATAGGAGTTTAATTGAAGTGTGGGAAGCCGGGGAGTTTGCAGACAGCTGGAGATGTAGTTTTTCAATGAATCTACAAGGGGTAAGTACAAATATTTTATAATTTCCCACAAATATTAATAATGTGGTATTCTATCAGTGGCTTGAGTAAGAAGAGGAAAAAAAGCGACATTCTGACATAAATGTAGATGTGGCAAATTGCAAAGGTAATTTAAGATGTTATTTTTAGAGACAGGTTTGTGGCATCTTTCACCAAGTAGTCCTTCTCCCCAGAGACTATTTTGCTCAAACATTTTTACAGATTCTGGTCAGTGACACACAAACCCCAACTTCTAGGCAGTCTGCCATTCAACGAGAATATTTTTGCAAAGAAAGAAATGAGGAAATGTAAGCATTCAAGTGAAAATTCAATCCTTCACAGTACAGAGCTTCTGCGTAGTCTTTTAAATGACCCTTTTTATCATGGTGCCATGTCTTTACCTTTCTGAATAGTGAGACCTGGTAAAAAAAATAGATGTATGTATACAAGTGGTTGAGTAATGTATTACTCATGTGCACTTTGTTCTTTTTGGCAAACTGACCTTATCAAAGGAAAGAAAGCTATACATTGTGACAAGAGCCTTACTGGGAAGACTGAATTAGGAGCCAGAGAGATTTTACTGTTATCTTGTTTTAAATTAAGATGAGTTTGAAAAGATGATAATGCTACTGAAATCTTTTCCTTTGTTTTCTTTTCTTTAAAAAAACCAGAACATGTAATAACAATATAAAGGAAACATACTGTATGTTTTATGTTTTAATCATGATTTGGGTGGCAAATATAAAATGGAGGTTTTTTATTAATTATACTTATCTGATGTATAATATTTAAGGTAATATGCAAATTTAGAAGATTATGAAGTCATTAACTGATCAGTGACTTAAAGATCAATAAAGCAAACCACAGTTAGAAGTCACTCATTACCCTGTTCCCCAGCATTTCTACACATACTGCAATAATCTCATGTCAAAATCACTTTGTATTTAGAAAGATAGCATGTCAAGGAAAGGATTAGGTAAGTAGTTTTGCATTTGAGCAGTTAACTTTTCTCATAAAGAGGATGTCTAAAACAACAGAATATGAAAACATATTCAAAGTAGACTGCTCTGAATTTTCTTTTTCTAAATATTTAATTTGGTCGTAAGTATCTTTCTTGCAAATATCAGTAGGATTTTAGTGACAAATTATGTTGATTCTACAGTGCTTCTAATGTGCAAGGATTCCAGAATTACTCTGAATGTGTTAAAGAAACAGCAACAGAAAAAGGACTGTACTTTCCTTTAATTCCACCCCAGGTTGGCATATCTCCCTGAAAATTTTAGGGGAAGTTGACAGCAGCTTCGAAAATGATTTACCATATTGTAACTTTTGAAGTGACAGAAATTCTAAATAATAAAATGCACAATTGGAAAGAAATAATAATAATAAAATTGGAAGGGACCTTGGAGGTCATCTAGTCCAAACCCCTGTTCAGGCAGGAAACCCTATACCATTTCAGACAAATGGCTGTCCAGTCTCTTCTTAAAAACTTCCAGTGTTGGAGCATTCACCTCTTCTGGAGGCAGGTTGTTCCACTGGTTAATTGTTCTAACTGTCAGGAAGTTTCTCCTTAGTTCTAGGTTTCTTCTCTCCTTGATTAGTTTCCACACATTGCTTCTTGTCCTGCCTTCAGGCACCTTGGAAAATAGCTTGACACCCTCTTCTTTGTGGCAGCCCCTGAGATATTGGAACACTGCTATCATGTCACCCTTTGTCCTTCTCTTCATTAAACTAGACATACCCAATTCCAGCAACCGTTCCTTATATGCTTTAGCCTCCAGTCCCCTAATCATCTTTGTTGCTCTTCTCTGTACTCTTTCAACATCTTTTTTACATCACACTGACCAAAACTGGATGCAGTATTCCAAATGTGGCCTTACCAAGGCATTGTAAAGTGGTATTAACACTTCACGTGATCTTGATTCTATCCCTCTGTTAATGCAGCCTAGCACTGTATTGGCCTTTTTGGCAGCTGCAGCACACTGCTGGCTCATATTTAGGTGATTGTCTACTAGGAATAAAAGATCCCTCTCACAGTTACTACTATTGAGCAAGGTACCCCCTATACCAGTGGTTCTCAACCTATGGGTCGGGACCCCATTTGGGGTCAAACGACCATTTCACGGGGGTCGCCAAACAACACAGTCGCCATTTTTCCCCCTTTTCCTTAGCTGTGCTACTCCCTTTTATTCTATTGGCTTTTGAAAGCCAATAGAATAGACTCTTTTGAATAGAGTCTAATTCTATTGGCTTTCAAAAGCCAATAGGAATTGTCCAGGCTGTCTCTGCCCTGCTGAACCCGCCAAAAGTCCCATTCTGCAAACAGTGCTCAACTTACGACTGGTTGGAGGTCGTGGCATTAAAAAGGTTGAGAACCACTGCCCTATACTATAGCTATACCTAGTGACTATATTTAGTTTTAATTAAATGCAAATAAAACCAAATAGGGGTGGGGGGTTTCCTGGTTTTTCCAATCCACTCATTTGTGTAGGACACCCCTGGTTAATATCTTCAGCTTGTAAACATTTATTCCTTCTACTTTAGCAAAGTGTCTAGAGAAAGCGAAACAATATTAATATATATACCTAGTCTGACACAGTCTTTCTTTCTCCATACAGATAGACATATGCACCCATCCATCCCTTGCCTTCAAGTCAGTATTGATTCCTGGTGATTGCCTGGACAAGTTCCTGCAATTTTCATATGTGGCTCGCCATTGCCTCCTTCCTAGGCTGAGAGAGAAGGATTGGCTCACTCGGCTGGCTTTGTGCTTAAGGCCGGATTGAAAGTCATGGTCCGGTCTCCCAGTTTCTGACCTGATATCTTATCCATTACAAGCTGTCTCTCATTACATTACATTGATACATTTTGTTTCCATATCTGATCAGGTTTGTACAAAATATATGTGTTTCGCTTTGTGTCCTTTATATTCCTGAAAAAGAAAGAAAGAAAGAAAGAAAAAAGAAAGAAAGAAAGAAAGAAAGAAAGAAAGAAAGAAAGAAAGAAAGAAAGAAAGAAAGAAAGCTAAATTGGAGATGGGGCTAGTAAGACTCACAGCTTAATTTTATTTTATGTCAAGGCTTAGTAACATTGTGAAAAAGATAAATAGTATATGTGTGTCTTCTTTTTTAAGCAATCTTTGTATTGAACTACTAGAACCTATAACGTGTTCCCCAGCCAGCTTTCCTCCTAAAGGCTGCTTGAATAAGATCAATGTCCCCATAATCTGGGTGAACGATTGTGAAATTGTGTTTTTAAGTTTTTTCACTTTAACTTAAAACCACAGTTCCACAACCATTCTCCCAGACTACTTTTGATATGTTTAAAAGATTTCCTTTTAACTTGTTTAGTTTAATAGCAACCTCTGGGCCATCTGCTACCTGCTTTTAGTTCCTGGGAGTATTTGGGAAGCCTTTGGGACTCCTGAGATACTTCTACAAGAAGGATGGCAGTGAAATCCTGCACATTTAGTCTGGAACACACATATGCTGTTCAGCTAATTTATGGATTATCCAACTTCAAAGGAAAGAAGAATTTTTATTATAAAAAAGACCAGTAAAACTCACAAGAATTCTGCCCCAATGTTGATGAATGATAACAATAACAACAACCACATTACCTCTGTGGGAGAAATGCAAATATTTCTTAACTTGCCTCCATGTTACTTTAATGGAAACCCATTGGAAAGGAGAACAGGGGAAGATGACCACTTTTTAGTTATAGGTATAATCATTACCTGGAAGGAGATATTTCAAATTTAGTAATCTGATGGAAAGCAGCTATTGCAAGACAACTGTAAGTCTTGTAGCATGGCTCTCATTCTCCTTCTCCTCTTTCTTTCCGCATATTACTTATTTGGTGTGATTAATTGTTAAATCTTGTGTTGTGATATGCATATTTCTTTGATTTATTCTTTTCTCTACAGGATTTCAAAGCCATCTACCATGAGATTCTTCACTAATTTTATCACTACTTCTTATTCCTATTACAAGGAATAACTTCATAACATATATGATTTGAAAGAGAATTACTGATCTAAAGTGACCCAATAACTTTCAATGGATAAAGGTGGATTTGAACTTCAGACTTCCTGAACCAAGAATATCTAGTTTTCTTCTCTTAAATGTTGTTACTTACTGTAATAGGATGTAGTAAATCTACTTTTTCCATGTCAGTCCCTGCCCTACAGAACCCCATTCCTCCCCACCCACCCCCCAGTAATTGGTTAAGAGCCTACTTCCTAGCCTTCCATAAGGCCTTGAAGAGTTGGTTCTTCCTTCAAGTGTTTCAGTGGAATGAGACTGAAGTTGAATGCTGACTTGGAGGGAAGTGTGGTCTTTGAGGTTCTGGAAAATTTTGTTGTGTTTTTATGGTATTTGGTGTTTTTTACTGTTGTTTGTGAACTGTTCAGGTTTATGGTACATAAGATGGGCAGCCATATTGTATGTCTTTTAGAAAAACAGATAAATCAATCCTAGTCAAATATCTTAACAACTACACCAGATTTACGACATTAGAATGTCTATACAGTCATCTAGGTGATGGTTGTCCCAAAGGTTCTTTTTCAAAAGGATTTTGTTTTTCCTTGAAGACATTTCACTTTTGATCCAAGAAGCTTCTTTAGTTCTGACTGAATGGTGGAGGATGAAGGATCCATCCATCCTTCACTATTCCATTCTCCACCATTCAGTCATAACTGAAGAAGCTTCTTGGATAAGATGTCTTCAAGGGGGAAAAAAATCCAGCTGCCTTTTGAAAAAGCATCTTTGGGACATTAGAATGATGAATATTTGATCCATTTTTCTTCTTCTTTCTTTATCCGTTCTATTATACTTTCACACAGAGGAGCACCTGTTTTTTTAATGATAAATATAGTTGTTGGTTGCTACGGTATGTGCAAGAACATTTTTATCATAATATAATAAAACAGAAAGATGCTAGGCTTTTTAAATAGTAACAATGCTACCTTCTGACACAGAAATACATAGAATCAAATCTTCATAGTTATTTTGTTAAAGCTGGGATGTCACTGTTATTAAACCCTTCTGGTTTCTTTTATGAAGAGAAATAGTATTTAAATAAATGAATGCATAAAAATACATATTTAGAGTTCATTTTTAAATAATATGAATTTTCCAATTTACTTAAATAGTTTAGATTCACAAAATGTAATCTTCTTTATTATTTGGAGGTTCTACCTAACAAATAGTTTCATATAATAATGCATATTACATAATAGTGGCAAGCAGGTTTTTCTCTTAAAGGGAGAAGTTATAAAAGAAAAAATGATAGCTCTGCTGTGCCCAAATTGGCACCAAAAATGGCAGTAAAAATACTTACATATTAAAGAAGCTAATTGGGTGGTTATTCAGCTATTCGGGTTTTCCTGTTGATTTTTCTGGATGAGAATCCAGTGCAAATGAAAGTCATGCTCAGGTATTATCAGGCCTGGAGCACAAAGTATGCTTGGATGCCAGACAACCCTTGCCCTCCTTCCCATGTTCCTCCAATCAATGTAGACACCTTCAGAAGAAATAATTTTATGTTTATAAATATGCAGAAGGATTTCCACATGAACTAATGAAGGTCCTGGCTTGTGTGGAAGTCAGTCTAGTGTACATTCATATGAATAGAAGCTTTTTTTTTTCTTGCAGAGAGTAGCAGTGAAGCAGAAACTTGTCTCTGGAAGTCCAAAGGCATTTGGCAGGTATTGGGTGGGATGAAGGCTTATATAATACACTGTGGAATTAATTGCATAAATATGCCCATAGACATGCTCCCACAAAGTCCTTGAGATAACAAACGGACTGCTCCAGACACGGAACACATTCATCAGCCATTTGGACAGGGTCTGATAAGAACACTGGAAGCAGGATGCATGAATTATCACCCACCTGCATAGCCTTGCATCTGGAGAGTGCTGTTATGTGATACATTGTAACCACTCCTATATACGTCTTTTGATTACGCTGTGTGATGTAAAAACTATAGTAACAATAAAATAGGGTGTTGGAGTCAGCTCTGGGCTCCCATCCCGAGATACCTGCGTGCGTGTCTCATTCTCCATGGGAGACCACCACATCTGGTGACCCCGACGTGATCCACTGAGGGATACGTCCCTGCCGACCCTTTACTTATCACCTGGAATAGGCTTGGTGCACCCGACGAAGTTGCTGGCAACTGACTCCTCTTCGTAAGTATGGGGGGTGGAATGTCTCACGCTCAAAAGCAGCATGTGGAAGAGCTGAGGCTACTTGGCAGGAAAAAATATCTTACTGATCAGGAACAGAAATTAACCCGTCACCTTTCTAAATCTGAGGCTGTTAAATTGCTTGCTTACGTATGGGCTAACTGCTCATCCTATCCGGAGTCTGGATCTTTAAAAGTAGATACATGGAGGAAAATCGGAGCTGTCCTCCATCAGTCTCCAAGAGCCCCCCCAGAGATTTTGTGCCCTTGGAAAATTGCCTATACCCTGATTCAAACCCATGCTGACTCGCCTCATCAGCCTTTATTAGACCCTCCACCGTACAAAAGTCCGTCTGTTATGTTGGCCACTCCCTTGCCACCTGGAACCGGTTTTAACCCTCCTTCTGCCCCTGCAAATTCTATGGATCCTGATAAACAACAAACAGCCTCTCCTGTTCCTGCCACGTTGCCGCCTGTCTCCCGGCCCGGAATCATCCGTGGCGCTTTTCAAAAGGCTTTGAACAATGGTGATTTGAGTGTTTCTGAACTATCCGAGACAGAGTTGTTCCCTGTTACTTATCAACAGACCGCAGCAGGCATAGTGGTTGATTGGGAAGCACTTCCCCTGGCTATGATCCGAGAATTGAAAAAGGCTACAAAAGATTATGGCATAACCAGTCCCTATACTAGAGGACTGATACACTCAGTTGCTAGCGCATATTGAATGTTGCCTCAAGATTGGAAAGATCTGTTCCGCATGCTTCTTAACGGAATGCAATACGTAGTTTTTGAATCTGAATATAAGAGAGAGGCACAAAACAGAGCTAATCACCCAGGTTCACAATGGACAGCAGAACAACTCTTCGGAGAAGGCAATTTTGCTACCCTTAATGCTCAGGCTCAAACTTTCACCCCCTTTGCATTTCTGATCATTAATACTTGTGTTCTTTCTGCCATGGCTCGTGTTGATGAGTCTGGCACCCCGATTCAATCTTTTTCTGCCATTCGCCAAACTGCGACTGAATCCTATGCAGACTTTGTGAATCGCCTGCAAGTTGCCATTGAGCGTCAAATTTCAAACAGAGATGCAGCAAATGAAATCCTCATAAAATTGGCTTATGAACATGCAAATGCGGACTGCCAGTCCATTCTTAAACCACTTGTTTCCAGTCCCACGGCCACCCTAGCGGACTATCTTAAAGCCTGCCGCATTGTGGGAACCAATGTTTTTCAAATGGACACTCTTGCAGCCGCAATACAAAAGGGGAATCAACCCCAAGGCACTTGCTTCAATTGTGGAAAACCTGGTCATTTTAAAAAGCAATGCAGAGCCCCAGGAGGCGGCGCGGCTCGACCCGCTGCCATCCCCGGAGCCAAGCCCAAAACTGTGTGCCCAAAATGTAAAAAGGGTTTTCATTGGGCCAATCAGTGCCGTTCCTCTCAGCCCAATTGGGGAAACTAACAGAGGGGTCTGCAGCTAACCCCTCTCCAAAGGCTGCATCCTTTTCAGACTTTACTCCTTCTGCTTCGCAATATTTTTCTGGCATTGATTTAAAATTGGCTTCTGATCTTTCTGTTACTTTTCCTAACCTACTCACGGTTGCTGAAACCCTTTATTCCGGACCCTTGCCCGGAAACGGAGGGAATAATCCATCCCACACCTGTTGCTCGGGAACAAAGAGTGTTTGTGCTTCCAGGTATGATAGATCCCACGTATAGAGACACCCTAAAAGTCCAATTTTATACCAATCTCCCTGTCACAATGAACCGGGGGGATACGGTGGCACGCTTGGTTTTATTACCATGTGCAGCACCATCCATTCCAGAGGCTGCATATGCACCTCACTCTGGGAATTCTTCCTCTGATTTATTGGCACTAACAAAGCAAATTACTCCCCAAAAACTGGTGATGCCTTTTTTAATCAATGGCATTCTCTTCTTTGGTCTTGTAGACTCTGGTGCAGATGTCTCAGTCATAAGAACAGCTGAATGGCCCTCTAACTGGCCCCTCAAATCCTCACCAGCAGTCAGGGGAGTGGGAGGACTTCAACAAGCAAGCTCCAGTAAAAATTGGCTTACTGCACAACGAATCACAAAAGGCATTTCTGCTAAATTTAAACCTGTCGTCCTCCCTCTTCACACAAATTTATGGGGCAGAGACGTACTCTCTCAATTTAATGCAAAGTTAACTCTGGAAGACTAATAATGCCTCCTTCACCCATGAAGCTTACGCTCCTTTCTGACACCCCCGTGTGGGTAGACCAATGGCCACTCACTTTGGAAAAACAGGAAGCATTGCAGAAACTGGTATATCAGCAAATACAATCTGGCCATTTGGAACCAACTACCAGTCCTTATAACACCCCAGTATTTGTAGTCAAGAAAAAATCAGGCAACTGGAGAATTATTCATGATTTACGCCTCATTAACATAATAATTAAACCCATGGGTCCGCTACAGTGCGGAATGCCCAACCCAAATATGATCCCCAAAGACTATGATTTGGCAATTATTGATTTAAAAGACTGTTTTTTTTACCATTCCTCTACACCCTGATGACAAACAACTTTTTTCCTTTTCTTTGCCTCAAACTAACATGTCCCGACCTACTCCTCGCTATCAATGGACTGTTCTTCCCCAAGGCATGCTTAACAGCCCCACCATATGTCAAGGTTTTGTGGACGCTGCCTTGTTGCCTTTTCGCAAATCCTATCCTAACTTTTTGCTTTATCACTATATGGATGACATTCTTCTAGCTGCACCGGGTCCTCCTGGCACGGTACAAACTGTCCTTCCCCAACTCATTCAGCTTTTAGCTTCTTATGACTTTATTGTCGCCCCGGAAAAAGTTCAGACCCAATCTCCCTTTTTATATCTGGGACACAAAGTCTTAGCCTCTCATTCTGTTCCGGTGCTCCCTGCCATCCACCTTCCTTCTCCTCTCACTTTAGTTGCTTTACAACAAATCTTGGGCACCATAAATTTTATGCGTCCATTTCTTGCACTGACCACTGCCCAATTGGCACCCTTGTTTTTGACTTTGCGAGGCCACACTTCCCCCTCCTCTGTTGTTGTTCTTAACCTCACTCAAAAATATGTTTTTGCCTTAATTAATAGTGCCCTCTCCACCCGCTGGGTGGACCGAGCCATTCCCAATGAGCCTTTGTCTTTGGCCATATTTAATACTCCCTCTATTCCTACAGCTGCCCTTCTCCAACATCAAAAGGGGAGGGTCTCCATTGTTGAATGGATTCACCTCCGCAATACCCCTCGCAAATCTATCAATCCACTGCCTTATATGTTTGCTCTTTTAATTACGAAGGGTCGTTTTCGAGCAAAATGTTTAATTGGATTTGATATTGTTTTTTTATATGTCCCCATGTCTCTTACTATATGGGAACCTTTATTTGCCTCTTCAGATATATTGCAACTTTCTCTTGCTGACTG